CAGGCAGAGGAGATGATCACTACAATCGAGAGGAGGAATCGTGAATCAGAGTTGATGGCACTTGCAGGCTTACACACGGTCTCCATGCTTGATTCTTCGTTCTTGAGGGAGTCACAGTCCCCAACTTCGAGGCGCCAAGGAGATGTTGAGAGGCTGAGTACCCAGGCCTCCTCTATTTTACAGATGTGGCGGGAGTTGGAGGATGAGCATGCATTTAGTCAAGCTCAGGAAAGGGTAAGAGAGAGGTTGAGGCAGCGAAGGAGTGTGGATCCTAATACAAATATGTCTGGAAGTAGAGAGAGTGATAATCAGGGCAGCCTGGAAGGTGCTAGTGAGAGTGAGCATGACTTTGCTACTTGGTCCCAGGAGCAGGTGGGCCCACGGAATGAGAATAGGGATCCTGACCATTCTAGTCGGGAACAATCTCCAGATCTAGGGGATGTTGATAGGGAGAGGGTGAGGCATATTGTTCGCGGATTGATGGATAGTGGCATTAGTGATGCTTCATCTAATGTTATGCAGGGGAATGGCAGTCCTAGAGCTGAATGGTTGGGGGAAACTGAGCGTGAAAGGGTAAGGATTGCTAGAGAGTGGATGCAAATGACAAGTCAGCAGAGAGGATCTCGTAGTGGACACAGGGAAGATCAAAATGATGGACTTGGCGCTCAAGTTGGCCGTCGCCGTGAAGGGTCTGATGTTGCCCACGGGGAAGATCAGCCAGAGCATATTCGCAGAGACATGTTGAGGTTGCGCGGAAGACAAGCCTTACTTGATTTGCTTGTTAGGATAGAGAGGGAAAGGCAGGGGGAACTTCAGGGCCTATTGGAACATCGTGCTGTTACTGACTTTGCACATCGCAATCGTATTCAGGTGACAACATATTATTCTGTTTTCACTTAAATTTGTATCATATGGTTTTAGTTTTACCGCATCCTTCCAATGTTTAAAGAAGTGGTGATCATGTGCAAGCTTTATCTTTTATCAATGTTAAACAGTATTATTATGACAATCTTTAACGTTTTTTGTTGCGAGTATGTTCAAAGTTTAATGGTATTTGCCAAATTCAGCAATTCAGTTATATAAATAAATGTTTCTTGAGTCCTCTTGTAGAAACGCTTCTAATATTGATTGGTATCTCTCACTCTGCAATTAGAACTTATGCCTGTAATATATCAAGTCTCAAACTGTTCAATCCTAGTGCCTTATATCAATTTAATTTATACCTCTTCTTAATTCATAAAGTTCTTATTCGAAGAAATGTAATTGTCAGTTGATGTTTATTTGAAGTAGTCCCTTTGTTTTATTAGTAATAACATAGAGTTAACAAGTTACTCTCCATCTTTTTGTACCTTGTGAATCAGAGATCTGTTCATATTGATTCATCATTTATCTCGGAAAATGTTTCTATGAGCTTCTGGAATAGTTCACTTGAATTTGTAATTATAACCTATATTTTTGTTTCAATTTTCAGTCATTACTTAGAGGCAGATTCTTAAGAAATGAAAGGCCCGATGAGGAAGAGCGACCACCTTCAAGGGCAGTTAGTGAGTTAAATCAGTTAAGGCAGCGACAAACAGTCTCTGGACTGAGGTATGGGCGCTTATGCAAGCCATACGTCTCACTTCTTTCAATTTTTGTTGTTCCCCTTTTTTACCTTCTTTTGCCCAATTCTGGTTTTTATGTGCTTTTTTGTTCTCATGTTCGGTTCTAGTGGATGGAATGGAATATTATATTCTAGATTTTTGGGCGAAACACCTTTCCAATATCTTAGTGTTTGGTATCAAATGATGTTTGTCTTAGTTTTCTATCTTAGTTTGGAAAGTAATGGACAAGAGATGTCAATGAACTTAAAACAACCCACAATTACAAGTGGAAAATATGATGCCAGTACTGCCTTGATGATAATAATAACATAGCAAGATTTTGAACGTTAATAGTAACATAGTTATGTTTTTGACAAGTTAAAGACAGCCATGCATTGGTTTTCATGTACAAACTGATATTGATCTTGATAAAAGTGCACTGATGTTCCTCTTCTCTCCCCCTTTCAAAATTTCCTGGCATCACGGGTTATCTCTGCTTTACTGGGGATATCCTCTTTGGTACTACTCTCTAAGCATTTTACATGTAATTTTTCTTCTACTTGAGAGCTTGTCCTTATTGTGCACCTTATGATTTATTTTAGTAAAGAAGGTTTTTGATGCTTACTTAACACTGAAATTTGATGAGTCCTGTCATTTTTATATATAATATGGTGGAGGAAATTTTTTATGATTTTTATTTGATTGCTTAATCACATATTTCATTCAGGGAAGGGTTCCGCTCCAGATTGGAAAACATTGTTCGTGGCCAAGTAGGCAGTCATCCTGATACCACATCTAACAATATCGGTGATTCTAGAAATGATCAGGCTGATACAAATTCTTCACAGGAAGTTCAACATGAGAATCATGACCAATCTCAATCTAGACTTCAGGAAAGTGATGTTAACCAATTGCCGGATCGTATTGCAAATCTGGATAGTAACACAGCTGTTCAAAGTACACATCAACAAGCTGCTGCAGCTCAAGGAAGCAATTGGCAGCAACAGGTTGCTGAAGATGAGAGAGAAAATGTGCAAGAATCAAACTATAATGAATCTAGTGGATGGAGAGATATCACTTTGCAAGACACTGATAGGAACTGGCAGGAAAATCGTGTACCTAATTGGAATTCGGAAGCAACAGTAAATGAAGGTGGAGGTCAAAGTCAGCTGGAAGTAGTCCATGACGATAGGCGTGATAATGGCTCTCGAGAAGCTATAGAAAATTGGTCTGAAGTGCCTTCAGATCCTCCAAGAATGCGGGACTCTCTACCACATAGAAGAGGCACTAGGTTCCACCCCCCTGATGATGATAATGTATACAGCATGGAACTCAGAGAGCTGCTTAGCAGGTTATTGTCTCACTCTGTTATGTGCTCAAGCTTCAATATTTTTTTTTTT